GATAATAAGTTTCTTGCCTTAAAAGAATAAATCCTGGGGCCTAATCTTAAGACATGCCCATTCTCAGCACCACCAAAAGCAGCTCACTGTCCTCATTTCTTATTCTCTACTGCCTTGGTTCCCAGTCTTGGTACACATCAGATTCCCAGTGCCGACACCTCATTAATTAAACCAGAAACTCTGGAGGTAGGATCCAGGCATCTAGACTTTTAAAACTCCAGGTGATTCCAAAATGCAGCCAAGGGTGGGAATATTGGCACCAGTTACACAAATGTACTGAGGATGCCGTGAAGTGCAGGTAGAGAATCAAGCATGAGAAAGACAAGGAGAGCCACACACAGTACAGGGAGCAGTGGGGAGCCAAAGCGGCTCATTTCCTCCCAATCCTTGGCAATGCTGATGGAAGAAACAAGAGTGTGCAGCCACTATGGAAAATACTATCAAGATCCCTCAAAAAAGTAAAGAGGGTCCTCCCCTGTGGCACAACGGGTTGAAGAGTGCTGTGGAGCTGTCCACAGCCTCTGTAGCACAGGTTCGATCCCTGGCCGGCCAGGCAGACCTCTACTGTCGTGCCCACTGCTCCCATCAGCAGTGTGTTTCAGTCGGTCTGCCTGTTCTGTTCCCCACTCTGTCTCTGGTGAATTCTCTCACCTTCCTGCACCTCTGGCCTGTACCCCAGCTCTTGCATAAATAAAAAAAAAAAATCTAAAAAAAAAAAAAGTAAAGATAGACATTCCATATGATCCACTTATCCCAATGTTGGATATTTACTCAAAGAATACAACACTGATTCAAAGAGATACTGCACCCCCAGGTCCATCACAGCATTATTCACAATACAGAAGAATTGGAAACCACCTAAGTGCTTGCTGACAGACAGAAGAATAAAGATGATGTGATAAATACATACAATGGAATACTACTTAGCTATATAAAAAAATGATGTAATCCTGCCATTTGCAACAACATGAATGGGCCTAGAGGGTATTATGCTTAGTGAACTAAGTCAGACAAAGACAAACACTGTATGATTTCACTCATGTGGAAGACAAAGAAACATAAGGAATGAGTAGGAAAAAAAAAAAAACAAACTCTTAGACTCGAAGGACAAAATCATGGTAACCAGAAAGGAAGGAGGAAGGGGATGAACAAACACGGTAAAAGGGGCAATTGTTTGGTGAAGGATGGAAATTAGACTTTCAGTGGTGAGCATAGTGCAGTGTATACAGATGTGCAATTATAATGGTGTACACCTGAAACCTGTATAATGTTATAAACCAATGTTCCTGCAATAAAAATTTTACTTTATATAAAAAAAAGGGGGTGGCTGAGAGCAGTTAAGTTTGCACTGGCAAAGACAGTGAGGACCGTCATACTTCTGGCCCGCCACGGCCTGCATCTTCTCAGAACGGGGCACCTTCTTAGCGATCTTCATTCAGCCACACTGACTGCAGATGCGAGGGGGCAGGGCAACAAGTAAAAGAAACAGGCTGCTCAGCGAGATGGAACGCAAGCCCTTTGTGCAGGGATGCCGGATGCAGTGGATAATTTCTTAATTCTCATCGCAATTCGGTTCACGGAGACTTCTGGAATGTCTTTATCCATCACAGATGGTTTGGGAAGATGATAAATTAATATTGTTTAAATGGAGGCATGGCTGAAATGGTTAAATGGCAACGTCTTCTTTGCCAGCTCTAAAAAGAAAGTGCCCCCAAGTCCATAAAGAAGACAAATGGTAAACAAAACCTCCTATCTTTTGACAGATTCCAGGACGAGTATCATTCACAAACCATTCTATGGAGAAAAGGGAGAAATTCATCTCATCTGACTTTGTATAGGACAACAGCCCATGCCATAATGAGGCCTTCCCAGTGCTGTGAAATTGCACTGAATAGCCAGAGAGTGCAGCCGCCTGTTCCCTGGGCATGTTTATTACAGTCCTTTGTATACACCAGTCCTGCCAGCCCCAGTTTGGTTCTAAACTAGGGGAGGGGAGAAAGAACCCAACAAATTTGTTGCCGTGAAACTTCCCAAATGGGGGACTGCGTAACAACGTTTGGAATCCAATGCCCTCACTTGAAGCTGCCCTTGTCTGGGTCCACCCCTGCTCTAAATTGAACAAGGTTCAGAGTCAGCCAATCATCAGCAGTGTATGGGTGGCCCCAGCCCCCCTGCCCAGGCCTGCCCAGGTCCTGGGAAGTCAGGGAGGTAAAGAGAGCACTGACGGCCATCTCTAAGCACCCTTGGGTCAACTGCCAATGTGGGAGTCGAGCCACTGCTGGTTGTCCCAGTTCCCTTGTGAATTGCACCTGAAGTACAGCCTTTACCTGAGAGCCTTTGATGATGGGGCTACCTGAGGTCAATCCCAAGAGGCCAGAGCCTGAGGGATGGGAGTTCCATAGCTACAAGACTTTTGGAAGCCTCACAGAGCAATCCATCAGAGATCAACACGCTGGGGAGCCAAAGTACTTCCATCAAAGGAACATTCCCGTGAACCCTACAGTATAGCAGACTCCATGGGGAGACCTGTCTGAAGACCTCCAGGGTACAATCTGAACTTTTAAATCTTCCCTCCCACCCCCACCAATGGGTAGGAAATGTCTTATGGAAGTTACTGCAGATTTGTAGTTCCTACCTCCACTAAGCTCACCAATCAGAGAGCAGATCCTTCAGGCAGTGTCTTTTCTCATCAATAATGAAGCAGGACCCTCCAGGCAATGTTTTTCCCTCCAGTCAGGTTGCAGAATCCTTGAAGCATTGTCTTTCCTCACCAATCAGGAGACACTGAGATTCCCATCCTATCCTGCCACATCTCAGAAGGATAAGCGTGTATCCTGAGTACTTAGCCCAATCTTACATTTCTCCTCTTCTGAGGATTCTTCTCTCAGAGCACCCAGCAAGGCTGAGGGCAGCAGCTATCCAGGCTAATATAGAACACACAGCCACCTACGCTGGCCACAGCATTTGACATAACAAGACAGGAGCAAAAACTCACGTACCTGCATCTGTCCCTACTAGAACCAACAAAGGAAGCCAGGTGTCTTCACCTTAAGCAGAGTGGCAAGGACCCTCGGGATGATCTACAGGATTACAGGAGGCCACTTGTCCCTCCCCATGACAACAGAGAAGCGGGTGAGAGACAAATAGCAAGACGACAAGGGTACTGCTCCTGCTGGTCTCTCCAGGACAACAGAAAATAACTGGTGCCCCTTGACACCAAACCCAGAACTTCTCACCCGTGGGCACAGGGCTGCCCACCTAAGTGGCCTATGCTGGTTAAAATTTCTTGGCCAAATTCCCAAGAAATCGATGTACAACCAGTTGTTTACAAGACCCTGGCTTCAATTTCTTCTGTAAATACTTGGGCACAGGTGAAGGAGCTGGCAGACTTCCAATTGCTTTCTCTGAAAACCTAAAGCTCTCACTCCCTGGCCATGCCCTGCTCACACCTTCCTGCCACTACAGATGTGCCTCCGCCACCTTCTCATTCCCTGATCAAAATCTCCTGGGGGATTCCCACCACGATGCATTGTTTTTTGATGGGGAAACAGCTCTGCTATCTTTATGCTTAAATTTCTCTTGGCAACCACCAGAGGCAGCCTTAAGTCCACAGATCTGGAAGAAAAGCTTGCCTGTGCCTTGGGAGCTACCCTATGCATTCCTGTTGATTTGGAATTGAAGGGATTTCTCCTGGAGGAGACACATTGGGAACCTATATTTTTAGAGAAAAGTTTCTGCATGAACAGGGCCGGCTTCAAGGGTCTGGAGCTCCCAAGGGCATGCGCTTGGCTGAAGCTCTACTATTGCTGTTTTGGAATTCCTAGCCATTCCTGAACTAGGAGCCCCGTATTTCCATTTTGCACTGGGGCCCACAAATTATGTAATCAGCCCTGTACACAAGTGCCCAACATCTGGTGGATTTCCTGTTAAGAAGATGATATTTTGGCCTCATCCAAAGGCTAAGCATGGCCACGGCAGTGTTTCTCTAGTGCAGCTCATCATCTATCATCTGGGCTTAAGTTTGCCCTGGCCTCGGTGTCTTCTGTGGAAGGTGTCTGTCAGGACCCCATCTATGCTGGACTGTGGACCAAGAGCCCTCGCAGAGAGCTTCTTAGGAAGCCATGCTTACAGCCAGGCTCTGAGTCCCAAATTTCAGACCCGGGAAAACCTGGTTCCTGGGATTCCCAAAAGCAAATGTGGTGGGGGGCCCTACTTCCCCCTTTCAATGTCACTAAATTCCCTGGCATTTCATCAGTTTCCCTGAGTCATTTGACCATTGCTTCATTTTTGTTATTGGGAAAAAACAAACAGCAGAAAGTTAAAACATTAGTGCTTGCTTCAGTGAACGAAAATAGTCTCCTGTCTCCCTTTTAATTTTTTTGTCCTGAGAAGTAAAGCTATTTGCAGGTGGATTAAATGTTCCTTCTGAGCCCCTGAAGCTGCCAACCTTACCTGGACTGTGCGCATCTGTGTGAGTGTTGGGGGACGGGAGTGTGGGTGGGTGTGGGGAGGGGGCGCACACATCCAAAGAAATGTGTCTGCAGAGTTTTGGTGAAAGAGAGTCCTTTGTGCAGACGGTAAGCCTGGTGAACATGACCCCCGCCCTGTGGTATGCGGCACACCTGTGCGGAGGAGAGCCGCTGCGAGGGGGTGGGGGCCCCCGGCTCAGGCACTGCGCCCTCACAGGGATCACACCTTCTCCTTTCTTCTCCTTGTAGTCCTTTTTCCATTGCCCCTTTGTTTCAGCTTACACCTCCAAATACCAGGGAGGCCGTGCAATTGTGCATGCATCTGTGTGTGTGCGTGTGTGTGTGTGCGTGTGTGCGTAAGAGAGAGAGAGAGAGAGAGAGAGAGAGAGAGAGAGAGAGAGAGAGAGAAAGAGAGAGAGATTATCTCAGTCTATGCTCATTTGTATGGGGACTAAAAAAAAAGCAAAAGGAAAGGAGCAGGGCAGAGGAGGGGGAGGACCATGTTCCCAGCGTCCCACCCCCACTGCCTACCTTTGCAGGCCTTCCGGTGGGTGATGGGCTTGCCCAAGTCACGGTAGTAGCCCTCCTTGCAGTAGTGGCAGTGGCGGCCAGCGGTGTTGTGGCGGCAGTTGAGGCAGACACCCCCGCTCTTGCGCCCCGACAGCTTGTAGAGCTCCATGTTGAAGCGGCAGCGCCGCGCGTGCAGGTTGCAGTTACAGGCTGTGGGGGGGGGAAGAAAGGTGTTGTTAGAGCACACCGGGGTGCACACCAGCACATCTGGCTCCGTGGGGCCTATTTCCCCACAACAGTGACCACTTTTTAATGTCAGGTAACGTTCTCCAGGACTTGAAAGGTTGTCTTGTTTTCCACTGCACAGATACACCCCCACGGGCCTCGTGGATTCTCAGCAGGCACAAAGGAGGGCCTCCCATGTTGGGCAGTTAGTTTCCTGCCGGTTTTTCACTACCGTTAAAAGCACAAATGGTAACCACCTTTGACAGAGGCTTTGTACATTGGCTGTGGCATGGTAAATTTTTCAAAACAGAATTCCTAGGGAAAATTTTGGATCTACCAGTTTTAACTCGGGATCCACACTGCCCCAGAGAAAGGTTGTCCCAGCCTATGTTTCCCCAGCAGGATATGAGAGCTCCTATTTCGCCACACCCTTGAAAAGAATAACTCAATGCCTTTGGTATCAGCATTGTTTTTTCAAAAAAAATCTTTTCCAACTTCTGGGAAACATGCACATGATTTTAATTTCTGCGTCTTTGATTACCAGTGAGGTTGGTCAATTTCTCCATGTGTTTGTTTTTCTATTTATATTTGGGTTTTGTGCATTGCCTGTTCATGCTATTTGCCTGGTTTTCAAATAAGTGATCTGGGTTTTGTTCTTCTCAACCATGTCTACAGCTCTCATACACAATGGATTAAAAACTGCCTTTTACCACCATACAAACTACAAATATTTTTTTTTTGTAACCAGTTTCTTATTAACATATTGCTTTCTGTGATTTCAAAAAAAAAAATCCTTTTTTATTATTTCTCTCTCTGATGTCATATATAAGCTTATTTAAATATTCTTCCTAGGGCTTCCCTGGTGGTGCAAAGGTTAAAGACAACAGCGCTATCAACCTATCGCCAGTCAATGCAGCACAATTTTGAGTTCTGGCTGGCCAGGGAGCAACCCACATGGTGAAGCAAACTTCTGTCTCACCCACTGCTCCCCTCAGCAGTGTATTTCAGTAATCTGCCTGTTCTGCTTCCCACTCTCTCTGGTGAAACCCTCCCACACCTCTGGCTTACACCCCAGTTCTTGTATGTATAAATAAAATAAATTTTTTAAAAATTAAAATAAATATTCTTCCTAGAGTCACCCTCAAAGTCACACATCTATTAGTCACTCATTTCACAACTAGAGTTGAGGGCTTTAGAGAGGCGATGTGAGGAACTCAAGAGAAAAGATTCAGTTCAAACCTCCAGTCCAGAAGCTCCTATAAGTCAAATGAGGCCAGAGAATAACTTCCAAGAGCTTTAGAAAGTGTCCATCAGCACCTCTAGCCTTAGAGGGAGAGTTCAGCTGAGCCCTGTCCATCAGCACAGTGGCTCATCCTGCAGACACACCTTCACTGTCCCTTTGGAATCCCTCACTCACACAGGGGTGGTGGGGCTGTTCACAGGGCTTCAGTGACCAATCATCTCAGACCACCAAACTATCAAATGTGGCGTCCAGAACTGGAACCAGGTCTTCTGGCTCCTGGCCTGTGACTCCAAAGGAAAGGCCCCCACATCACTGTAAGGAACAGCTGGGCCTCCATTGCAGTCTGGGATCTAGATCTTTCCTACTAGCCCACAATGCACAGGGCCTAGCATACCTGCCCTGGGACATGATGTAGAAAGATCACCTGGATCTCACTTCTTCTGGCCTCTCCTGTACCAGGGAAGGTCTGGGAGCAGCATCTTTTGGTTCCTCTCAGAGGCAAATGCTCTAAGGGTCCTCCTCTGTAAAGACAGCTCCAAGCTCCAGCCTGTGAGGCCCTCCTGGGGAGCTCAGCACCCACCCTACCCCCTCCACCCCAAAGGGGCACTGGGGCTGGTATCTCTTCCATATGCACCTTACACCAACAAAAGGTTCTTCCCAAACAACTGGCCACACAAAAGCAAGCTCAGAGGTCTAACATCAAAAGGCAGGGTTCCCCTCTCGCCCCCTCCTCTTGTAGCTGTCAGGGGACATCAAGTGGCAAATGCCCATGCTCAGGCTTCTGCAAAGTATTTTACGGCTTGTTTTCTTTTCTCTTTGTTTTATTTTCTCTGCACAAATGGAAAAATGCATCAGGCCAAGCAGTTCACATCTGGATCACTTGGCTCCACACAGGGATGTCACCCAACTCCTAGCCTGTGCCCAGGCCCTTCCTCAGAGAGACACCTTAATCCCTCACGCCTTCCTGTTTATCTCCTGCTTCTCTTGGAGGCAAAAATATTGGGTATTAGTTTCATTATCAGATTTCAAGGCGGGAAGGAAAGGGCAGCTTTGTGAGAACAGAGAGGTCAGCCCAGGAGTGAAGGGGGGAGTGCAGGGGGCAGCAAAGCTTCTGAGGAACCTGCACAGGCTGGGCAGGGAGCCCTGGGAGGCGGAGTCCTCTCCAGGGGTCCCCAGCCATCCAGAGAGAGCTGGTCTCCGAGCTCTGTGACCTCCTCAGATGTCATGTGGTGCTCACCAGGGGACACATCACATGTGGCTGCATTTCAGACCCAGGGGTAAAACATGGGACAGGAGGCGGGAGGAGGAGAAACCCCCTGCCCATCATCCCAGTCCAGGAAAGGAGCCCAACAGATGGGGTTCCATTTTCCTCTGCCATCAATAGGTCATCTGAGTCCTATCTGAACATAGGCCTGTCGCCACCATGCCTTCACTCTTCCTGAACTTCTCCCACCAACCTGGGCTGCCCAACCCCTTGCCCCAATCCACTTCAACTCAACACACACAGTGCTCCAGCCACAGGCTGGATCCTGTGTCACTGGCCGTGAGGGAGACACAATGGACAATGCACTCTCAACTGTCCAGGGCTCCCATCTGACAGAGGAGGGGACAAACATGCACGTTGACAGCAGACTCTGTGATCAAGTGGGACAAATGTTCCCTCAGCCGTGTTGGTCCTTTGGGATGGGACAGTGACCTAGTATCTTCACAGGAGCCCAGAGGAGACCATATGTTTTTGTTGTACAAAATGAGAGCAAAATGGGGGTCAGGGTGAGGTGGAGAGAGACAGAGAGAGAGAGAAAGGCGGGGAGGGTGAAAGAGAGCAAGAGGGTGTGAATGGATGCATGCACAGGTGGATGGATGGATGGTGGGTAGGTGGGTGGCTGGGTAGGGAGAGAGGCAGGACACATGGAGAATAGTATGGTTTGTCTGAACCACACCCTGACAAGGCATTTGAGACATTTCTTTTAATGTTGTTTTGAACTACTTGAAACTTACCTTGCTGCTTTAACTCATCTATTGAGCTTCTGTCTGCTCTTCAAGGAGACAAATTCACATCTAAGATGTCCTGGACTCCTCCTGGGCCCCGAAGAGGGCCTTGTACACAACAGGGACTGGATTTGCATCCATTGGTTTGATGAGTTTAGCACACAAGTCAAGGTGGGGCGGGAGTGGAGGGGAGCCTCTCCTAAAAACCCTTGATAAACTAACCTTACCCAATCCCACCAGGACTATCCTAGGCCCAGAAAAACTCCACAAAACGTAAAGCCATATCCTGGCCCTGACCCTCAGGGACTCCAACTCTGGGTCCCCCAAATTTCATGTGGCTCAGGGGCTCGCTCTATGGAACAGGAAGTCCCAAGGAAGTCCTTGGGCAATAGGTCTCTGAGGAGGCCCTGTGCTAAACTAGGGAAAATCCTCTCCCCACCCCCCCACCCCGACTCTTAGGATCTTTCCAACATTCTCCCCTCCCCTCCAGTGTTATTAAGGTTGCCCCCATGTTATCTCTGCAACATAACAGAGAACTTTGGACTTATGTATCTTTGGTTCCTCTCGGAGGCAAATGCTCTAAGGGTCCTCCTCTGTAAAGACAGCTCCAAGCTCCAGCCTATGAGGCCCTCCTGGGGAGCTAAAATGTTCCAAATAAAATGCTCAAAATAGCGAAAATGCCCACCTGTGACTATGCAGGTGTTTCTTTTCACAAACCTGCCCCTTTTCGGGGGCAGCTCTTTCTGCTCACTTGTGTCTGTGCAAATGTCCTTTCCTTTCCCTTTTCTTACATAATAAACCTGCCCTTTTGGATATAAAAATGAATTAAAAAAATAAAATGGTCAAAATAACTGGCCCACATAGGTACCCTCCACAAGCTGGGAGCTCTGGAGGCAAGAAAGTGGTCCCCGCCCCGGCCTGCAGTGCACCCAGAGAAGCAGGCTCTCAAACTGCATGTGTCCATCCCTCAAAGGCAGGTAGGAGTTACAGCAGTGGCTTCTGACCAGGACCACTTTTGGCCCCCAGCAGACATGTGGCAATGTCTACAGATATTTTGGTTGTGGAACTGGGAAAGGAGGTGCTATGGGCAGTCAGGGGATGGAGACCAGGGTACTGCCAAATGTCCCATGGTGCACAGAACAGCCCTCCAAAACAATTTTTCAGCCTAAACTGTCAATAGTGGATTAGAAAGACTGACGCTTCAACCCCCAGGTTATGTGGATTTTTTGTTCCCTTTGCTGCTGAGAAGCTGTTCTTTAAGAGCAAAGTGCAGCTTCGAATGCTCCCCAGGGTGTGACAGATGTTAGAGCCCTCAGCAAATGCCCACTGAAACATATGAAAGAACCAGGCGCTGGTGTGACTGCAAGGGATACACAACAGGGTCCCCTGCCCTCAGGGTGCTTCTGGCTCAGAGGGGTCTAGTAATCACACAACAGTTCTGGAGTTCTGAACTGTGCCAAAGGCAGCAGGGACTCACCATGAAGGAGACCACAGAGATAAGATGGACAGGCTGTAGCCTCAGAAGAGAGTCAGAACAGACACAATATTCTGTCCCATGCTGACCCAACAGCAAAATGAGTATTTATCACCTGGGCATCACATTCAAATGCAGGGTCTGATTCAGAGGGTCCAGGAGGAGACCCCAGAGTCTATATTTTGAACAAGCTCCTAGAGGATGCAGCTGGTGGTGATGGTCAGCAGACCAGCATCTTTGCACAGTAAAAGGAAACCAGCTGGAATACAAGTCATTCTG